ATCACATTTTCTTCCTGTTAAAAGCCTTGTGTCCATTGCTTATAAATTAATATTGATTCTAACTACTCTTCCCTCCTCATGCAGTTTAAGTCCAAAAGGTGCAAAAGCAAAATTTACTTCATAAGACTAAACATAAAACAATTTGAAATAATTATTCACCCAATTAACCTTAATGTAGAAGAGAGATATAGGTATGATTTATTCTACTTTTTTCCTACCTTTCTTTCTCATCCCTGACAAATAGATATAATTTATTAAGAAAAAAATGAAAATAATCCTATATAATAAAAGGTGAATATGCAAATTGTCCCCTTGGGAGTTCAACCAACCAGGAGTTTGACCACTCGCTATGATGTGTGCTGACCACCAGGGGGGTGCTGTGGAACAAAGGAAGGCCCAGCCGGCAGCCGGCAACCGGCAGCCGGCAGCCGGCAGCTGGGAGAAGGAAGGCCCCGATTGGCCCTGATCGCTGGCTAGTCCTAAGTACTCTACCCGTGCACAAATTTTGTGCACCGGGCCTCTAGTTAAATTATAATTAGTTTTGCAAGTAAAGTTTGAGTACTACAACACAAAAATTACATATTATATAAAATAAAACTCAAATCTCACCTCTTCATATTTTTCTTTCCTTTTCCTTTCAACACTTTTAAATCTACTTTGCTTATTTTATATATGAATAAGAAAATAAGGCTATGAATCAATAAGATTCACTAAACATTATCTGAACTTTATCACATTTGCTTGCATTTTCAAGTTAACAGCTTCATACTTTATCTTTACAATGAAGGGGTATACTTAGGAGTTTTAAAGCAACTTACCTTTAAAGTGTACTGGTCCAAAATTCCCTGTAAAGACCACATCTTCATTTTATCTATTTTAATATTCTGATAATTAAATACAGAATTTACTCTCTATTTAAAACATAAGTAATCTTTTGAGATTGGCTCACTCAGCAAAATGCCCTGTGTTCATCCAAGTTGCTTTATATATCACAAATTCTTTCCTTTTTATAGCTGGGTAGTAGTATTCCATTGCATGGATGTATGTTTACTCATTCACAGTTTAAAGGACATTTAGGACATTTCTAGTCTTTGACTATTACAAATAGAGCTGCTATGAAAATTCATGTGTAGGTTTTTGTGTGCACATACGGTTTTATTACTCTAGGGCAAATGCCCATAAGTGTGACTACTGTATAATTCTATTTATATCATATTTTCAAAATAACAAAATTAGACATGTAGAAAAGATAACTGGTTGTCAGGAATTAGGGGAAAGGAAGGGAGGGTGTAACAATAAATGGACAGCACAAGAGAGTTCTCTTTGTATTTGTAGGATAGTTTTGCATATTGATTGTCCTGGTGGTATTCAACTCTATATATGTGATAAAATATCACAAAGATGAACAAAAAAGAAATATATGCAAAAGCTAGTAAAATCTAAGTAAAGCATATAGTCTAGTTACTTATAATGTACCAATTTCCTGGGTTTGATAATGCAATGCAGCTTTGTAAGATGTCACCATTGAGGGATGCTGGGTACACAGGACCTCTTGGTACTATTTTTGCAACTCACTATAAATCTAGAGTTATTTCAAAATAAAATGTTTTTAAAATGGTATAATAAGGATATTTTGTGCCTAAGAAGCCTGTGAGGATTATCACATTGTATAAATTCTTCAGTATTAAAAATAAAATACACCATGTTTTGCAAATAAAGAACAAAATTAACCTTGGATTATAAACAGTTGGTTTAAAAGTTTATAATTCACTGTTTTTCAAATGTGATAACTACTTGTGATAACTTTTCAATCTAGACTAAAACTAAGATAATGTGCTTTTACCTAGAAAACTAAATGTCATTTCTGAATTAGGGCAGCAACTCTATTGTATAATTTTTTGGTATTATAATTAGACCGTATTCAGAGCTATCTTATCTACCCTTTAAACTATTTTTGTACACAAAAGAGAAGAAAAAATGCGAATTAAATCAAGAAAAAGGAAAAAAATGTTAACAGGCTTAGTTAAATACTAAAATAATGAAAAATATAAAACAAGCTTAGGGTAGAATAAGAAAATTTGCATACCTGTTAACTTGATATGTCCTATTTCATCAAGCAAAATGCTGTAAATAAAAACTTACACTCAATAAGATGGAATAAAATAGCTTATATAAAACATTTCATAAAAAAATTTTCACAAAATTAAAATAGGTCAGTGTCTTTTTGAAATACTAAAAATAAATGATTAATTGAAAATCAATGGGCTTTTCTTGTTATCCAACAACAAAAAGAGAAAGAAAATGACATGTATTTTGCCCAAAGTAACTTCAATCAGCTACTTATACCAAGAAATGCCCCCACCCCTCTAGATCATTTATAGTTCTGAAGATCTTAATGAGTATCATTTTAATCATAAAATGTATACACATTCATTTCTCCTATTGGACTCCCATTTTAAAATAAATTATTCTTGAAATATTTCTGGATTTGTATGTTAGAGCAGTACAAGGAGGCCAAATCATTTCTAATAGGATTCCATCCATTTCTTTAACCAACATGTTTTTAAATAATGCATTCATTTTTTTAAATCACAAGCCATGCGATTCCAATACACTTTAATTTTTATTCAATTTTTAAGTTTAGCAAATCAACTTTTCCTAGACAATACTTTATATGAGTTTCTATCATTTTCTTTAAAAATTTGGTAAATATAAATTTTAAGTTTCAATAGAAAATCTTTAGAAACACCTTAAAATAATTAAAATAGTATTTTGTATCTCTTTCTAATCATTGTGCCCAGGAAGTTCAAAGCCATACAAATCCTTGCACTATTAAGAGTCATAAGCTTGTGTCACTTAGAAAACATCCTTGGTCAAAGCATTGGAATCCAGTTCATATCAGGAAATGAGTGGGATTCAGAATACCCTGAGCACCAATGTCCAGACTAATATCACAATTTTTATAAACATATTAGTTGACTTTTTGCTCCACTAGTTTCCCTTTTTATCTTATTTCCATTTAAAGTCATGTTTGCAGTTATGGGTCTTTGATAACTGAAGATCACAGGCAAGCCACACAGAGTTTTAAACTTTTGTAATTGTGTTTATACCATATGGTCTAGTGTCCTATTATTGATTATTCAAGGGTCTTTGGTCATTGGTGGTAGCAAGACTTAATGGTTTTTAGCCAGTGGTGCCACAGCCAGATTTTACTGTAATGTCTAAAGGGTCAAGTAATGTTTTTGTACCACTATCATTTCAAATTTGGGTATTCTGCCATAGAGCGATCTGTACTGGGCTGAAACTTGACATATGTAATACTCAATATTAAGGTTTATCTCTGCTTGGTAGCTTCTTAGAATAATGAGAGCTGTAATGTTGACTCTTGTGTTCTTAGAATTTAAATGGCATAGCTTTCTAAATGATTTTGTCCAAGTTTAACAGTCCATTGTAGGAGCTTTGTGACTTTAATTTCAGTGTTTTTGTTTTGCTAAAAAATATACCAGTTTCCAGTAAAGCATCATATTTTTATTCACTACTAAATGAGAATGCATTGGTACAAACACTATCACATGAATAAATAAAAATGAATAATTGGAAAAAAAATCAATGGGTATCTTATGAACATTATTTTCTATAAGTTTCATATAACTGTGACATTCATACATATTTTCATATAATCTTTAAATAAAAGATGTAGTGGAGAAAAAAGTCATTATATAACACTGGTAATAGAGATATGTAAGGAGAATATAACTGTACTTTTCTGGCTTCAGGTCTCTATACACAATTCCTAGTCGGTGCAGATGATCCAAAGCAAGGGCTAGTTCTGCAAGGTAGAATTTCACATCTTCCTCTGTAAACAGAACCTAAAATAAAATAATAATTTACCATTTGATCATTTGTCAATATTGTATTTTCAAAAATTTACTTCTTTAAAAACCAGTAAACAGACAAATCTAGAAAAAAGGAAATATGAGAAACAGATGGAATGAACCACTTTTAAGAATCTTCTTCAATATTAGCTATTGAAATATAAATATTCCTAAAAGATATTTTGTAGTTTGCATATCTTCTTAAACTGACTGCACTATATAGGATTTACCCTTTATTTTAATATGATTATCATTTCTAGTACTCTACTACAATATTGTAATACCTACAAGATCTTTAAAGTATACAGGATATTTTGGTTTAGCATTGGCAATTCCACTATTTCTATTTTTTTCTTTCACTGTCTATTACATCTCAGATTTTTCTCTTTCAGCAGCTCTACTAACTCAAAGTTTCTAATATACCAACACAAAGTATTAAATTAGTAACTCGTTTTAAACAAAATCCTAAACCAAATCTTTGTCCTAAGGGATAGTTCCAGGCCTCTTCTGCTAATAAAGTACATGAGTTTAATGGCACTGTATTCCTCAATCATTTTATGCCTGGGAATAGAGCTTCTAGGATGATGTGAAAAGAACACTGGACTTGGAACCAGAATTAAGAGTATAATGTTTGACATGTCACTTAGCCCTCTGGCCTTCAATTTCTAAACATGTAAAATAAGGATAATAATATCTGTCTATCTAACAAGGCTGTTGTGTCAAATTAGTTTACATGGGTGAAAAAAACTTCATAAATTGTAAAATGCTATGTGTGTAACTATGAGGTATTATGATTGTAGATTTATGTCTACATTCATAAGTGAGTGTTAATTTACACACAGAATTAGGTGCTACTCAATCATTAGATGTAATTTTTAAGATTTATCGAGGGCTTCCGATTGGCAAAACAACTAACTTGTCTAGAAATTTTCATTTTCATTGGTTATTTGGATTACTAGGAAAGGGTAAATTTTGAATGAAGTATCATAAAGATTTTTTAACTGGCTTGCCCATTTAGAGTTATGGCCACTGAATTACACAATGCAGATTCAGTTTACTGGTAAAATTGCAAAGAATGAGCAGCTAAAGATAAATTTTGATACTCTACTTACTTTTAAAAATGATTTATAGAAAAAGATTGTTCATTAAGTTTCAAGAGAGTCCATTTGACATAATGGCAAGAGTATGATAACATCATTCCCATTTGATATTTCATTAAGAATAAAAATACTGCCCTGACCAGTTTGGCTCAGTGGATAGAATGTCGGCCTGTGGACTGAAGGGTCCCAGGTTCAATTCTGGTCAAGAGCATGTACCTTGGTTGTGGGCACATCCCCAGTAGGGAGTGTGCAGGAGGCAGCTGATCAATGTTTCTCTCTCATCGATGTTTCTAACTCTCTATCTCTCTTCCTTCCTCTCTGTAAAAAATAAATAAAATATATTTTAAGAATAAAAATACCTGTTACTTTAACTTCTGAGGAAGGCTAATAAAAATGTTCACTGAAACTTAACATATAAGAAAACCCTAAACAAAAATCTTGCAAACTCTAAATTAAAGAAACTATGCCTAGGTTATAGTTTATGATAAGCATATTATCTTGTTATAAAATTTTCTCTGTAGAAAGCCTCAGGATAGATGCAAATAAACTTGACTAAGTAGAAATTACTTCCAGTCACTTGACATTCATTAGGTTATTACAATCTTCCAAGCAATGCTATGAGGTAGGTATTATCATCACCTTACATTTGGAGAAAAAATCAGTGATGAAACAGCTTGCACAGAATAACACAGTAGGCCCAGGATTTGAACTCAGGAATACTTCTCCCTAAGAACTTCCCCTTCTCCATAAGCCGCTTCTTCCATATGCTGGGTTACAACTAATTTTTTAAAAGTTTTAAGTCCCTTAATATTAATACTTTTCTATTCATTAATCATTCTGTCAAAAGTACACTGAAAATGAAAGCAATCTAAAACCCTGGTCCCTGAGGTAACCATTGCTAGTCTTTTGCTGTTTGATACTCAATCAAATCATTCAGGTATGTATGTATATATGTGTTTTAACACATTTGCGATCATACTAATACACCCACAGTATTTACTAGCCTTCTTTCCCCCTATTTATTATATCATAAGCATTGTCCCATATCTTTAAAAATTATTTATAAAGAAGTTTCAGTAGTGCTATAATATCAACATACTAATTTACCATAATTTACCAAAATGTTCATTTAGGTTATTTCCAGTTTTTCACTATTTTAAATAATTATTCAACATGCATATATTTTTATATTTATGATTATTTCTCCAATATGAGTTCCTGAGAAATAAAACAAGAAATATTGGGTCAAGGAGAAGAAATAGTACAATTTTCTTGACATACTCAAAAATTATTTTGCAAAAAGGTTACAATAATTCCCACTCCCATCAGCAGTTTATAAAAGCATTTGTCTTATCACATTCATGATAGCACTAAATATTGCCCTTTTAAAAATATTTTCTAATTTGATATAAATGACATAAATTCCTTTAATTTAAATTTTTATTGTTAGGCTATACATTTTCTTCATGTCTAGTGGCCTATTGTTTTAAAGAATTGTAAGTAATGCTTTTGCCTATTTTCCAGTATGGACTTACTGTTTTTTCAATAAGTATAAGCTTGTTAAATATTAAAAATGTCAGTTCTCCATTATATTACTTGTTAGTATTTTCCCCAATTTGTGCTCTTTTTTGATGTTCAATAATTCACAATTTTATGTAGTCAAATTTACATAATCATTTCTGTGTGATTTTGCTTCATTATTTTAATGATTAAAGAGATCTACATTCAATAGTCAACTACACATTTAGCTGCATCTTCATTTAGAATAATTATTATCCCAGATTTAGCACTTTAACATAAGTAAAATTTATCTTCGGGTAAAGATGACATTTTAAAATGATTTTTTTTTCTGTAATATGTAACCAATTTCTCATATACTGTTTACTGAACAATAAATATCTTTGTCTATAACTTCTGATAATTTTTCTAACATAGTATATGTTAAGTCATATATACCAGAATATCCCTTGGCTATCCAGAATGTGTCTAGTCTTGTTTTGATAATATGTTTTGCTTATAACAGCAGCTTTATAAAGTTTTAAGAGGTAGAGCAAGAAAATGGTATTCTTTATTTTAAAAATGTCTTGGTATTTTTCATCTGCTTGCTTCTCCAAATAACCTGGCAAAATCATTCTGTCAATATCAAACAAACAAAAATTCCTATTAGTGGATTTATTGGGAATTTCTTAAGCTGATAAATTAATTCTGGAAGAATTGGCAACTTTACCATTATCAGTCACTCATCCCAATATATTTTCTTTATATTAGCAAAGTAGAGAATGACTTAAGAGTTTTTTGTATTTGTGTGCATGTGTATTTTAGAGAAGAGATATTTGAGGAGGTACCATCCTTTTAAAATATGCATGAGGCACATTATAAAATTCTAGAAATATAATTTTAAATTATTTTTCTAAGGCATAGATAAAAATCCACATTTTGGATAATGTAACAGTCTTTCTGCATACAAGTGAAGTATAACCAATAAAAAACTCCTTATTAATAGGCTGTGTATAGATATAACCATTAAATCATTTTTCAAAGCTTGTTCAATGCATATACTAATTTATTGTTTTTTGGGAAATGCATTTAAAATGCTTGCTCTTACCTAATATTCCAGACTTAGGAATCAAAACTTACTGACTGCATCACTGTGCTAGTATGGGTTTAGATAGTCCCACATCGAGAATGGAGGTCTGAAGAGTTTAAAAAAAAATTAGAAATGACTACAAGAATTCTCATACACATTCTTGACACTTCTACAATCTAACTCAAGAAATCATAAATACTTGAGCCTTGTTATACTGTTTGTCCCTCTATGTCTTGGGATCAGCTTTTAACAAGGTCCAATAAAGACCCTCCTTGGAAGGGGGTCCTATACAGACTCTACCATATTCTGAATTCTGTTCTATAGTAAACAATATACCAAGATCACAGTCTATATTCATGCATGGTATAATCTGCACAGGAGGGAGACATATATAAGCCAGAGACCTTAGCCAATTAAGAACTGGCTAGCATCCCAGAAGCACACTGTTCCTTTTTCATAGCAACTTTCCAAACTCTGGGATTCAACAGTAGCTCCTCCACACTCAACATTTTAATTCTGCACGTGAGATGTTGAGTCACAGTCACCCAATTAAAGTGCTACCTCCAGACTACCACTTTAAGACAAAATGAAGTAGACAAGGACAGGATTTACTCTCCCACCTGAAACCAGTAAAGCACAGAACAAAATATATGAAAAGACACTTTTCAAGACATTAAACATCAGGCAACAAAAGGACAGTGAATACTGAGAGATGAGAAACAAATGAGATAATCCCTACAACTCTCCTAGCTTACTACCTGGAAAGAGTTTTCAAGCAGCAGTGTAGGTACGGCTAAGTCAGGCAGAGTCTGGAAGACTCCCTGAGGTGATGAGACAAAGCAGAATCTGGGAAGAAAAGAAGGGTAAAATTCACAAGATAGAGCAAAGAAGGAAAAATTGCAGACAAGAAGAATTGAGTTATATGTACGACCTTCCTCAACTATTCAGCAGAGAAATACTCAACACATGTGAGTGAAGAAACTATCCTGATCCAGGAAAAGAACCAATGAAAGAATTAGAGAAACTGATCCATGGAGCTCAAACAAGGCCAGGAACAATTCCTGTTACCTCTGGCCAGAGCAGAAAACCTTATAATTCAGAGGTTATTAGATACGCAAGTGGGTTTTGCATTAAAGTAGAGGAAAATTAACCCGTAATTAAATGCACCTCTGATCCAGTTTAACAACCAGAATTAAACTAGCTACACATTCTTGAACAAAGCTAAATACTATTTATAAGAATACAAAAATATCCATCACTTAATAAGGTAAATTTCTGAATGTCTGTCATCCAATAAAAAATTGCCA